CCTCCGGAGGGGGAAGGAGGGAGGCCAGCCCGGCCTCCGGAGGGGGAAGGAGGGAGGCCAGCCCGGCCTCCGGAGGGGGAAGGAGGGAGGCCAGCTCGGCCTCCGGCCTCTCCCGAAGGTTCTCCCAAGCCGGTGAAAGCGTTTTCTGAATTCTGTCCTCGGCAAGTGCCTCCCATCCTGGGAAAACACTTTCTATTCAAAATGCCATGTGTAAAATATAGAGAAGCCTCTTGTTTTTAGAAAATCATTCCTGTTTAACATTTCTTTTAAGTCCTAAAGTGCAATTTCAGTACCTTCCGTGAATATAAAAATAACGCTCAGAGCAGAAATAGAATTTTAAAAGACATAGCAGAAATCCATATAAAATCTTCCTGCTTTATCACCATGGAAATAATGGAAGTTTTAAACAAAACCCACCCTTATTCCATAGAGTCATTATTCTGTCCCTCCCTAGCTGGGGGGCCCGGGACCCCTGTGACGTGTCTGGGACACATCCGCTCAGCCGGGGGGGGGGGTCCTTCGAGGAGAGAATTTAAGGTCGTGTTTCCGCCGAAGAGTCGGCAAAGCCCATCAAGCTGTTTGTGATCTTTTATGAACGTCCTGTTTATCCGAGTTACCGACAGTGTTAGCTCGATGTATCGCTGTGTCTATTGCAGGTAGAGCGGGGTCCATGTATCTTCAGTGAACATGATGAAGAACGGGCAGCCCCCATTTCAGGAACACACCCCAAGGTTACGGGGGACGTTAGGGAGGTCACTAAGTGACCCCAGTGTCCGCTGGGGTCGGACAACCGTTCGGTCCCTAAACAAGTTCTGAATTTCACTGGTTTGCTGCCAGCCCCTCCTCCACCCGGAGGCCTCTGCGCCTGCGGCAGGCCGGGACAGGGTCACTCGGGCCCACGTAGATTTCCGGGGGTCCACGGAGGAAGGGGCCACCGGCTGGAGGTGCTGGCGCCGGGAGAAGGGGCGTCCTCCACCCCAGCCCCGAAAGTCAGCAGCAGTCAGCACGGGGTTTTGCTGGGTGAGCTGCTGCCCTGGCGCGGGGGACCCTGGGACGCGGGCACGGGCTTCCCCGTGTCTGCCGGTACGGTGCTGTGCTGGCCTTGGTGGGAATGCCAGGGTGGGGCGTTCGTGCAGGGGCCGTTACATTCCCGCAGCTCCCAGCCGGTACAGACTGCTCTGCCCACGGCCGCTGGCCGCACGGGACGAGGGGCCTCCTACCGGAAAGGAGGAGTCCCCGAAACCCCAGCCCCGGGGCACGGCCTGCCGGGAGCTGGCGCCTGCTGCTGGGCCCGCCGCCAGACAGGACGGGCAGGGGGCTCCTCCACGCTGGCCTGGGCCCGGGCTCCTCCGCGCTGGCTCCCTGCCCTGGGCGGGGCTGACCGCCGTCTGCCCCGCTCGGTCCCAGGGCGCGGCTGTGAGCAGCGCACGGTGGGCTCCTTTGGTTTTGAGTTGCGCGAGCTGGGAGGCCGCGTGGCGGCAGGAGGAACCCCTCAGTCAGGCGGGCTTGAGCCTGTTACCCGCGTGGGGGAGCCCGAGGCCAGGCCACGCCCTGACCTCCCAAGGGACAGCTCCCCCGAACGAGGGGGCGAGCAGGGCTGGCCCGAGGATGATGGGTAACTAGGGCAGCCCCTGGGAGCCCCAGCCCAGACCCCGGGGAGGAGGCCGGGAGGCCCGGAGCCTGGCCTGACTGAAGCCTTTCCAGGGGAAGTTCTGGAATCTTCAGCTTTGCCCGAGGGCAGCCTGGCGCAGGGAGAGGTCGGGGCCGCAGCACAGGCCGCAGCTGGGCCTGGTGCCCAGTGCAAAGCCCTCGCCTCTGCCGGCAGCGTGACTGACGCGGGTCCCCAGGCCCGGCCCGGCCTCAGCGGGCGCTGCGGGGGAGGGCTGGGGGTGGCCGTGGGGGCACCTGGCCCCGCCACGTGCGCCCACAGCTTCCGGTTCCCTTTCATCTGGATTTTTTCACATTTTATCTTTTTTTTCTTTTTTGCCGCTGTTGTTATTTTTAGATTTCATTTATTCACTGTAAATACAAATGAAGATACAGTACAATTAATTTCTTTGCTAATCAAAATATTTGATCAAATGAAGCAATTTTTCAATTCTTGGAAGTAATTATGCTGCTCTTGAAGGGGAAGCGGAGGGCCGCGTCTCTGAGTATTTCTAATTAGGAGTTCTCCTTGCTACCTGCTGTGTTCCTAAGAATTCTCTATGAAGTTTCAGAGTGTCTTTCCCTCCTGTGAGGAATCATGGGAAAAACTATGTAATTGTCTCCTGAGTGCTCAGAACAAACTTAGCCGATGAATCATGCGGTCTGATTAGCTAATTATAACCTTTGTAATCGTTCAGTTAACATACAGACATACTTCTAATCTGACGCTGCAGTGGCCGTAACCAGGCCGTCTGACCCCGGCCCGGTGGCCAGCTGGCCGCGCAGGGCGGTGTGAGCCCCTTCACGATACGTCCACTGCCGGCTGTGAGTTCCGAGCTCTGGCCCTTCGTCGGCTGGGCGCCCCGCTGTCTCCTCGGCCTGAGGACCCCCCGGCCCGCGCGGTGTGGCTGGGCTCAGCGCAGGGTATTGCCCCGGCCACGGGGTGCTCCCCGGTGCGGGGTCCTCCCGGACCCACGGGGGTCAGGCGGTCACGCCCAGTGTTGTGAGGAAAAACCAGTTTTATTTGCAAATTGATGGGCAACGGACGAGGTAGGAGATAAATTCAAACCTGCCTCCAGGGTTGAGAAAGGGAAGGGCTTCTGTAGGTCTTGGGGACTCGGGTTGAGAACAAAGGAGTTAGATTTTACTGGCTGAAAAGCAGCGTGACTTGGCTGAAGTCCACTGGCCAGTCACGGGCCAGACCATTTGCTGTGACTTCACGTGAGACCCGATGCCCAGAGGGTGGCGGGACTTGCTGGAGCCACCAGCAAGTGGGGCGCAGTGGGGTAGCCTGGCCTTGCCCCCCCGCCCCCGCCTCTGGCCCCAGCGGCTGGGGTGGCCCCTTGGGGGTCCTGGCGGCGGCTGGCTAGAAGCACGGGTTTCAGAGTGTCCACTGCACGGCATCTGAGAGCCCTGGCGGGGCGCCTCCTGGGCTCTGCGCATCAGGCTTCCCTGCGCCGACATCATGGTGCCATCACAAAGGGACATCTGTGGGCAGCACTCAGCCTTGGAGGGCGGCCGTTCCTCCAACCTGAGCTACATGCGGCTCTGGTGAGGGGGTGTAAGGGACATGGGGGGATAAAAAGTAGAGGGAACAGCCTTGCCCACAGGTGTCAGGCTCAGGGCTGCAGGGGCGCTGGGCACGCAGGTCCAGGGGTCCTGCTGGGGAACGGGGTGCGGGCGGCAGTGGCCCTGGCGTGCCCCCGCAGGCCCACCCTCCAGCCCCCCGTGTCCCGCCTTCCCGAGGCGCCTCAGACGAAGCATGCCTCATCCTGGAGAGTGGCGTTCGCCCCCAAGACGGAGGTGTCTGTTCTCACTAGGAGACGCATTTCTCCGCTTACAGAAGAGCTCTGTCTTCCATTCAGAGGCGGTGGTCACGTGACCGCGCCAGGGCCACAGAAGCGCCAGACCAGGCGCCATCTGCTCTCCCTGGCACCCGCCGCGGGGAGCGGGGCTGGCGGCTGAGCGGCACTGCTGAGCGCGGCGGGAGCCTGACTGGGCACCCGGCAGATTCTGGGAGGCAGGTTCTGCTCCCCGAGCCAGGGCCTCCCTGGGCGGCGAGGGGTGGGGCCAGGAGGCGCGGCCGGCCTGGGCCCCGGCCCAAGGCAGCGGGGGCTCTGCCCCCCGGCGGGCCGCTGTTCCCACTGGAGCCCACGTGCGTGGGGCCTGTGGTCATTTGCAGCAGGAAGTCTCCTCTCCGGCCAGCAGCACGAGCGCCGTCCTCGCCCACCAGGGTTCTGGTCCCCTTGGCGAAAGCCTCATGCCCGGCCCTCTGCCTCCGATGCCTCCTGGCCCTGGGGAGCCTGGGGAAGCCCCAAGGCCCCAGGACCTGCACGTCCTGCAGGCCTGGTCAGCCCCCCGCCAGGGGCTGCTCCCCGCAGAGGCTCATCACGGGGTGGCTTCTCTCCTCTGCCTTCCTGGTACCTGGCCACATTACAGGTATGGGTGTTGGGGCCCTGGCACCTCAGAACCCTCCGGCCTTGGCTGCGTCACCCCCCTCCCTTCGCCCCGTCCCCCCCCAGACCTCGGGAAGAGCGGGGTCCTGCTGTGCTTTCTGTTTCTTTGCCTCCTGGACTCGGTGTCTGCGTGCTGCAGACTGGCCTGCAGGGGTGTCTCGGCACCATCGTCCCCTGCCACCAGCCTGCCACGCGCCTCACAGCAGCAGCTTCAAGGTCAGGGTGTCTAGCGATGCCCCCAAGTGCCCACTGAGATACTTACTACTAAGTCTCTGATTAGAAAAGATTTGGGCCTATTTCGCCAGGCGCCCTTCCGCCCCCCTGGGCAGCTGGCTCCTCCTCGCAGGCTGGAGCTCGGCAGGCCGCATGCGGTGGGCGCTCAGGCGGGCGCGAGCCTCCCCGTGGCTCCCCGAGGACATCTCCGTGTCTCTGCATGGATGTCCGTGCAACGGACGGGTTGCCTGCGCAAGCCTTTTCTCTGTCCTGTGTGGGTGCTGCGGTGGCTGTGTTGGTGCTGGGGTGACTGTTGGTTCTGGGGCCACTGTGGGTGCTGGCACAGCTGTGGGTGCTGGGGCAGCTGCTGGGTGCTGGGGTGATAGAAGCCAGCTGGGGAGCTGCATGTGCCTTCTGCGTGCAGGAGCAATTTGAGTAATGAGAAGTGTCTATTTCTTAGAAGTCAAATATAGCTTGCCCCTAAATCTTTTTGTTTTACACCGCTCAGTGGTAGATGGTAGCTCCCGTAACAGCCATTCTTGGGCGGTTCCCTGCCTACTCAGGGTTCTCGGAAACCTCAGTTAAATTTAGTAACCTGTGTTTTTTCTAGAAAACTCTCCAACTTCCTCTGGGTTAAAGCATGAACCTCGGTTTACATGTGCCCTCGCAGGAATTCTCCCGTATCTGTTGTCACAATAACTGCTGCCCGCACGGACGGGAGGGGACCCTCCACGGCGGGCCGAGGCTCAGCAGGGGCAGGGGCGGCAAGAGCAGAGTCCAGACACAGGCGCCTCCTCCTGTGCTGGCCACGCCCACCCCGCCTTGGCGCCGCCTCCTTGCTGGCCACGCCCACCCCGCCTTGGCGCCGCCCCTTGCTGGCCACGCCCACCCCGCCTTGGCGCCGCCCCTTGCTGGCCACGCCCACCCCGCCTTGGCGCCGCCCCTTGCTGGCCACGCCCACCCCATCCCACTTGTCCGCAGAAGGCGGGTCCTGCTGGTCCCCCCCAGCTGCACCTGCAGCACCTCGAGGCGCGCGTGCCTGGGGCCCTGGAGAGTTGGGGCAGCGCCAGTGCTCGGCTCTGGCGGCTCCTTCTCAGCTGTCTGGAAGCGCACAAGGCACATCTGAGATTTCTCCAGTTTTCCAGCATGAACAGAGAAGAGCAGCCTCACTTTGCCGCCGCTCCACGTGAGCATCCTGGTCCTCCTGTGGCTCTGCGGCGTCAAGGGTGTGGCGGTGTGGGCCTGTGCAGTCACGCACTTGGGGGCTGCCCCCGCGGCGCCGTGTCAGTGCCTCGGTGGGGTAAGGTCCCACTGGCCGGCTCTGTCAGCTGTTTCGTCCAGCGTGGCTCCCGGGAGGCCCTGGTCCGGGGGCAGCTGTCACGCCGTCACCCCTGGGCCCAGCCACCTCCCCCTCCCACAGCCCCGCCCTTCCTCTCCAGGGATGGATCTGTTGGCACAGCAACCACGGCTGGAGCTTGGGGTGCTTTTTCCCTAACTGCAGCTCATAGATACACGGCAGGGCGGCTCCCCTGGTTGGTCCCTGCAGGAGAACCCCCCGCGAGCTTTGCCCTCCGAGAGCCCCCAGCACAGGCTCACGGGCCTCGTGGTTCCAGCGTCCGCTGACGGCCGTGCAGCCGCCCCTGGCCTGCTATTCCCGTCGGCCCATCTGTCCCCGTAGCCACCAGCAGCAGGTGCCGGATGTGGGCTGCAGCCTTCACGGGCCCCTCCTCGCTCGCCTGGCCGCAAGCAGGACAGTCCACGAGTGCAGTAGGCAGACCCTGCAGTTGCCTCCCTTGCTGGGGGCCTCCCTCCAGAGGGTCCCTCAGGCGCCGCCGACTGTCCCCAGCACCGTGGTCAGCGCCACCCTGTCATCTGCCCCCAGGAATTCCCCGGACGCTCGCCAGGCCAGAGGCTGGATCAGCTGCCCAGCACAGCTCCCAGCCTCCCGGGACCCAGGGTGGAATCCCCGTGGGCGGGGAAGTCCAGGCGAGAGGCCGCTAGCCACAGCACGGGCGCAGGAGGCAGCGACGGTGGCCAGGCTCTGACTCAGTCTCCTGTGGGAATCGAGCAGGCAGGCTGGCGTGTCGGGGCTGCGAGCCGTCTCCGTTCCGTCCCCGCTGACTCCCTTTGGCTCCGCTCTGCTCCCCGCGGACGACGCGGGGGGCGGGGACGGCTGGCCCCGGCTACCCACGGGTCGCCCGCGTTGCGCCTCCTTCCGCAGGTCAGCCCCACTTCAGCTCAGGCTCCTCGGCTCCCGCTCCTGCCTGTGCATGGGTGCTGCCTCAGCCCCGCGCCTAGCTGGGCCCCGCCTGCCCTGGAGGGGCTTTGCTCTTAAGTGGGCCCACCTCCCTTCTGTTTTCCTAGGGTGCTGCCAAGTGGGCGGAGAAAATGCCCAAAGGCCCCCCGCCCAGGCCGCCCAAGGACGCAGCGACCCTGGAGCTCCTGGTTCGGCTGCACAGGGCCGTGGCCGCCCACTACCGCACCATCGCGCAGGAGCTGGACAGCTTCGACACCATGAAGACCAACACCGTCTCCAGGGACGCGTTCCGGGCCGTCTGCACACGCCACGTCCAGGTCCTGACGGACGAGCAGGTGGGCGCCCGCCCGCCTGCCCGCCCGGCCGAGCCCGGCCTGTGCAACACCCAACACTTGGGGGGAAGCTGGGCCCTCGGGGCCTCTCCGCTGCGGGTGCCTCAGGACGCCGGCCCCACCGGCCTGCGGGTGACAAGCCCGCCCTAGCGTCTCCTGTCCTTGGGCTGCTCACAGGCTCCCCAAGGCTCCTGCCCCTCACGAACCCAGGGAGGCCCCCGCAGCCTCCCCCAGAGCAGGCGCTGGGGGTGCTGCCCCGCCACTGGGGGCCTTCGTGGCCTTGCCGGCGAGCACGCCCCACGGCAGGGCGCCCCCAGGCCCAGCTGCCGACTGGCGCGGCCTTGGCCCCCGGTCACCAGAACACCCGCACGACTGGGGCGTGCCTCTTCGAGAGCCGAGGCGCGCCGGCCCGGCTCCGTCCCTGTGTGTTTGGTGAGGCCAGCATGGCCCAGGCCCCTGGACTCCGGCCGTGGGAAGGCCTGGGCCCGGCTGGGCCTGCGGTCTGGTCCCCCGGGAGGCCCCGGCGGGGCGAGGGGCTGTCTCAGCCCGCGGTGGGGGCCAGGAGGTGGGGAGAGCTGCCCACGCCTGGAGCTGCGGCCGCCCTCGGGTTTCACTCTTCCCATAGGCGCCCCCCAGTTTTAATCAGAAAAGTCCAAAACACGCTTTGCCCCTTGAACTGACTGTCCTGCCCCGTGGCCCCCATGCGCCCCACCCACCCGGCCACCGCCTGATGTTGAACTCCGGGTGTCTGTAAAGTGTGTGGGGGGGATTGTTTGTCCTGAAGCAAGAGGCCGCGGTGGGGAGAGAAGACTCAGATACGTGGGAAGCACGTTTCTCTCGCTTGAGAGTTACGGTGGGCAGTCAGGGCTGATGTGGCCTCTCAGAAGTGTGGGGGTGCGGGAGCGTGCTCCCCACATGTGCGCTGCTGCAGAGCCCCGCAGACGGGTAAGTGTCAGAGCCCAGCCAAGCGGGTTCCTTGCGCCCCAGCCCTGCCCGAGGCCCCTTCAGTTCAAAGAGGATGAGAAGAGGCTGGAGGGGAGGTTTGGGGGTGCGTGGGGTTGCCTTTATCTGCATCACAGGAGCGGGAGGAAGCTGCCGCTGCTCCTCCCTCTCCCTGCCGGAGCAGGGGACCCCCACCCCCCAGTTCTTTGCCCTTAGGCACGCTGGCCTGGCCCCGGGGCTGGTCCTTAGCTGCGGCCCCTCAAGCCGGCTAGTTCAGAGGTGTGGAGCCGCCCGCCTCGGGCAGCCCCTTCCTGGTCCCCTTCAAGTCCTCCTGCTCAAGGCCAGGACAGGCCCACCACCGCCTGCTCGGCGCCGCGCCC